CTCAGCCCAGATGCGTCCCAGGAAGTGGGTTTCCCACAGGAGAGGAACTGTCCCCAGCAGAAGGGGACAAGGGCCTGTAGCCCAAGGAGGGAACGCTGGGTGGGTAAAACAGCACACACCCACTACAGGAATTGTTCAGTGTAGAGAGAAGACACCTAAAGACAGCTTCAGGAAAAATCTTCCCCTCAGAGGCAATGCATACGAGGTCCAAACGCTGGCACCCAGGGGACATGGAGAAGTGGCGTGGGAGGAAGACCTGGGGGGTGGGTTGCTGGCTGTGCAGGTGATGTCTGGAGCAGGAGGCAGAGGTGCAGAGGGAGGAGGAAGAGGAGACTTGCCGGGAGAGTGGGGACGAGGGCCCCCAGCGACTTCCCAACCTGGCTGTTTTTCTTCCCTGAAGGTGCTCAGGCCCCCACAAGGAGAGGCTTCTTTTATTGTTTTTTTGAGTCGGGGTCTCACTCTGTCACCCAGGCTGGAGTGCAGTGGCACAATCACAACTCACCGCAGCCTCAACCTCGTAGGTTCAGGCTATCCTCCTACCTCAGCCTCCTCAGTAGCTGGGACTACGGGAGCCCACCACTATGCCTGGCTACATTTTGGCTTTTTGTAGAGACAAGGTCTCGCTATGTCACCTAGGCTGGTCTTGAACTCCTGGGCTCAAGCAGTCCTCCTGCCTCGGCCTCCCAAGTGCTGGGACAACAGGTGTGAGCCACCATGCCGGGACGAGAGGCCTCTCCTTCCTCTGGGGCAGTAGGTGGCTTCGGGGCAGCCACTGTCAGCTTCCTCCTGGTTGGGGAGGTTGTGCTCAGCTCCAGAGGAGGGGAGAGACTCGGGACCCCGGGGAAGCCCCTGGAAGCAAGCTCCTAATCGGATCAACGAGTGATTATACGGCCATTTTCAAGGGTTATGTCGTGACCAGGTGCCTGTGATCTGGGACTGTGGGCTGCTGGCCGCTGGGCGAGGAGCCCAGGCTCAGGCAGCCAGGGCAGGAGACTTGCGGGAGGCACATGATGGGGAAGGAACTTGCTGTTGCCACAGTCCAAGGGTAACCCGGGGAGGGAGCCACCCCCACTGGGTCCTGTTGTGGGTGGCCGCAGGCACCTCGGGAACCTGCTGTTCCGGCCAAGCTCAGGGAGGTAGTCCACCCAGCTGCCTCCTCCTCGGGATGCTACATCCTGGTGGTGACAGTCACCAAGGGCCTGGCAGTGTCCTCAGACCCGAAAACCCTTGGCAGGGGTCCTGCCTGCGGTGAGCCGTGCCTGG